ACTGGCTCAGTGGGTTTATACCTCTTCCAAGATGCAAAATAAAAATGATATATAAAGAAATATATGACAGTCTGACACTGACTTCCTGACTGATAATTCGCCACTGAAAACCAATCCTTGAATGCGTCAGACTTCCTTGAAGGCTCTGCAAGCGGTCATAGGCAAGCACCGATAAGTATTTCCTCATGAGTTATCGAAACAAAGCTGGGCTATATTTGGCTGACCACGTCATAAACAGTCATATCTAAACGTAAATAGTATTGAAGCCAGTACTGTGATAAACGATTCCATTGTTCAGAGCTAAGGACTGAACCACTGACATGACCTCACATAGGTTTGTTTTGGTTTCCAACCCAAGGTCAAACTGCCAACAGTCCCAAAGTGAGCATGTGTCCTGCGACCTATATACAGGTCATTCGGCCAACTCCGGTTCCTACTTGCGACCTATATATGTGACATTCGGACGTTAAAGGTTAACTTGATGTTTTATTTTTTCATATATTAAATTATTTCAGCAGATTTGTTTGTTTTGCTTATAATTTTGTATATGTATATTGGCTTTCTTTGATGCATTCATTCACCCATCAGTCCATACATACGTGGGTTACTTCAAAGGTCATGGCAACATAATTTTTCCAATATTTCGAAAACTCTGACCGGAATTTCCAAATTTGCCGCTGAGAGACAGCAACGTCTGATTTCTAATGATGCCGCAAGAAGATGCGGAAGTCCAAGGACAACGAAGCGAGTCCAGTGTAAAGTCACTGTGATTGTAACCTTCATTGAGAATGAACGTAAGCCGGCTGGAACAGCGTTGTTACATGAAGATAGCAGTGCTTCGCAGCAGACATGCAACTGAATGTCAGTCAGAGCTTGTGGAAGCTCTGGGTGATTGTGCTCTACCATACAGAACTGTTGCAAGGTGGATAGAAGCATTCCAACATGGAAGAGAAGCAAGTGCCGACTTGTAACGTAGTAAACGCCCTGTGTCCGTTTGTACCGATGTTTCTCGTGCCGTGATCGCCCAATGCATGGAGGAAGATACACTTGATACACTTGGAGACTACTTTGAAGGTTGCTAGTCATAATGTAAGAATTCAGATTTAACTCACATTGAATTTTTTATTTCTTAATCACAGTTGAATTTATCGAGGATTAAAGAATGAAAAAAAAAACAGTCATTCCATAATGTGCAATTTTTCTTGCATACTGTACCTATGCCCCTTCACATCTACCTGATCTGACTAAGCCAATCGGAGGGGTATATCATGCCCTTTAATAAGTATATTTTGAACTTTCTTCACTGTAACGTGTTTGCCCCAAAAAAAATTAGTTGACATGACTTTTGAAGTAACCCACGTATGTATAATTAAATTTAATTGCAAGAAGTCGTACCTAAACTGAAGAAGAGAACTTTGTCAGAATGATTGCTGTCTGTGTTGTAATATATGCAGTAAGATTTTGCATCTTGTTATCTTCTGTTATTTGTAGTTGATTTGAGTTCATGGCATAAGAAAATATCTGAAGAAATGGAACTGGAATTTGATGATGAAGATATTGAAGTGGGTGAGACTGTTGAAGTAAGTATCAGTTGATTAATGAATGTGGGCCCTTTTCCTCATCTTATTAGGTTTTCCATCTGATAATGTGATTCCATTTGTTTTGACTGGAAATATACATCTTTACAGAAACTTATAAAATTAATATTTTTGATGTGTACTCTGCATGTGCACTTAATTTTCTGTCACATATATACATCATAGAAGCCTTTTGATAACAGTAGGTTTTAGGTGTTTTTACCATGTAACACGTGTATAAATGAAAGACCAATATTCCTTTGGGTCCTGTAATAACACTTCAAGTGCTGACGTGAATTAGAGTGTAGCTTTAAGCTTATTTTTTTCTGTGCATAAATGGGAGTTCCTCTTACTAACATATAAAAATCTTACATCAAGAAAATTAATGGTGATTTTATAACTGAGTGAAAAAGAATGGTTCCAGAGTGAAATATTTCATGTACCCATATTTTATCAGTTGGTTCCCTTATTTAATGAGGCACATTCCTCCTTGAAAAGCATACAGGTACTCAGCTTGTCAGTAAATTCCTTGTCTATTGTGTAACCTAAAGATTTATTACTACCTTCACAAGAGCCTGTTTAAAAAAATGCCCTTAAACTTGATGGAGAATATAATGATGTGCTTCCTAGTCAGAACTATTGCACATTTCAGGAGGTGGTGATGAGTATAGAGGAATACTAGAATGATGATCAGCAGGAGAAAACTGAAATAACATGGAGAAAAATTTTCCAATGCCAATTTGCCCACTTTTGGTAGGCTGCACATTGGCATGCGTTAAGACATGTAACAATCAAGACCCGATGTATGCGACATGATGCAAAGAAAGGAGCACAGTTGAAATGAATGAGATTATGAAAACTGCCACACACCAGTCTGAGTCGTGATTCTGACAAATCACAAATGAAGCAAGACTATATCTTTTGTCTCATGTCTTGATGCTTGTCTTGATGCATGTGGTGTGTGGCTGCCCTTAAGTCTCGTGTCAGCTGGGATTGAACCTGGGCCTCTGCAGTGGGAAGCCAGCTTCTAACTGGCTGAGCTGTGACAGAGCCTACATTCCTACCTACCAGATTTTAATTCTGAAATTACTTCGATGGATCTTATGAATGAGGAACTGATGTCTAACATATTTAGTTCTTATCTGAATTCCTTTCACACCTTTAGTTTCAGACAGTAATCCCTTAAGCATTTTAATATAGAGGCTAATATAAAGGAAATGACATGTTCTTTTATGTAAGGTAATGAATTTTCTAATTAATTAACAAAATTCTGTATCACATCATAATTTGTTCCAGATGAAGAAAGTGGACACAGGATATTTTGAGCATGAAAAATATAAAGATGGAACCTTAACAATAGGCTGCATTGGGCAGCCAAATGTGGGGAAGTCTTCCCTTATGAATGCAATTATGGGAAAGAAGGTAATAAGAAGCAAGTTACTGTAGGTCAATGTTCAACACATCCTTGAGGGTGCACCATCATCAGATAGTGAGTGACACAGATCAGTAGGTCATTATTGTACAGGTACTGTATTTTCAACATATGATGCAAACCAATACTGTCATATGAGAAATCTTGCTGAACACTCAAGAGTCTTTTTTCCCTGAGGTACGGTGACTGCTCATGAGAGATGGAAAGGACTTTTATGGGATATGTTACTGTGTAGTCTAGTAGAAATTCAGACATTCTTGCAAAATATTGGTGAACTTCTACTAGATTACGTTGTGTTACATCCTAGAAGATAGTATTTTCATAGTCATTGCTGTGAGTACCTCAAATCCTACCCCAAGAGATTGTATAGACTCAGTTTATGATAACTGTTTTCATGGAATTAGAGAAAGGGATGGAACAGAAGGAGAGTGATTTGATTGTTCTCACCACCTCATGTAAAGGTCCTTCCTTCATAATACGTGGGTTACTTCAAAAGTCATGCAACATAATTTTTCCGAAATTTCGAAAGCTCCGACCGGAATTTCCAAATTTGCCGCTGAGAGACATCAATGTCTGATTTCTAATGATGCTAGATGATGCGGAAGTCCAAGGACAACGAAGCGAGTCCAGCACGAAGTCAGTGTGATCATAACCTTTGTCGAGAATGAACGTTACCCGGCTGGAACAGAGTTGTTACGTGAAAATAGCAGTGCTTCGCAGCAGAAATGCGACTGAATGTCACTCAGAGCTTGTGGAAGCTCTGGGTGATTGTGCTCTACCATACAGAACTGTTGCAAGGTGGATAGAAGCATTCCAACGTGGAAGAGAAGCAAGTGCCGATGTTTCTTGTGCTGTGATCGCCCAATGCCTGGAGGAAGATAGGCGCTGGTCTCTGAAGGAGTTAGAGACACATACAAGGATTGACCAGGCAACTGTGCATCTAATTTTGCAAAACTCAAATTGAATTTTTTATTGCTTAATCACAGTTCAATTTTTTTGAGGATTAAAGAATGAAAAAAAACAATCATTCTGTAATGTGCAATTTTTCTTGCCTAGTATACCTATGCCCCTTCACATCTACCTGATCTGACTAAGCCAGTCGAAGGGGTAAATCATGCCCTTTCATAAGCATATTTTGAACTTTCTTCACTGTAACGTTTTTGCCCAAAAAAAAAATAATTGCCATGACTTTTGAAGTAAGTAATGAAAGTTTGTCCTGTTGCAAACTTTCTTAATTATGACATGTGGTACTGATTTTATTTCTCTGTTATTAATGTGTTCCAGATTACAACAATGTACATTTTCTTATTCCAGGTTGTGAGTGTGTCTAGGACCCCAGGGCACACGAAACATTTCCAGACCATCTACCTAACTCCTAATGTAAGACTGTGTGATTGTCCAGGTCTTGTGTTTCCTTCCAAAGTCCCAAAGACGTTACAGGTACAGCTGTATGCATTTAAAAATTATTTTAAGAAGTTTTGGTAAGAATTTATGATGCCTGCTTTCCTTGAAATGATTCAGCCAATGTGGTAATGGTAGCAAGAAAAATAAATAAGTTAAATGTACAGTTCAGTGATCTGTAAGGGGCAATCAAAGCGGCCTCCGTAGTCTAGAGGTAACATTCCCACCTCATGACTCGTGGTACACAGGTTCAAATACCCGGCGGAGGTCATCGAATTTTTAAGGGCGGAAAAATTCAGGGAACAAGTCCTCTGGGAGGGACTTTAAGCTGTGTGTCCCATGTCGTAACTTTACGGCACGTAAAAGAACCTCATATCACCAAAGGGGATCACTGAGCCAAATTCCAGAACGTTTCCTGCCCAACAATAGTCACTAAGGCCTCTGATAGATGGAGGAAGCATTATAGACACCGCTAAGCAAGTGGCCGAACTTGCTTGCTTGGCGGGACTGATGGTATGCACCATTTATTGGTAGGGTATAGAGACTGGTAGAACATCATAGAGGGAAGCACAATAGATCAAAACTGGTCGCGGTGCATGGAGAAACGCACCCTCTCTAAATAACTAACTAAAGGGCAATCAAATGAAAATGGGTCACCACGCATAACTCACACGGCGTGCAAGTTGGTAACACTTGAATTCGCTTACAGTACAAACATCTGGTGGGGACTCGAGAAAGCACAGTGAAAACGTGCCCTTGCACGGTAGTCGTTTGTTTATTGTGCTGGAAGCAAGGTTAGCACTATGTGTGGTCGTCCAACATCAGTAATAGAGGCGGGTAAAGAAGAACAGCGAAGTGTAGTGCACTTTTTGACTGCTGAAGGAGTAGGAGGACGAGAAATTCATCATTGCATGTCTGTTACTTATGGCAAACACAGCATGTCATGTTCACCTATGCTGGTGTGTCATAAGAGATTCCAAAAGGGATGTGTGTCACTGCAAGATGATGCTTGCCCAGGACAGGCTCATCGTATCATCACTCCTGATGTTATTGCTGTGTTGGATGTTCATATCCAAGCAAACTGACAGATCACTGTAGAAGAAATTAGTCTTTTTATGGAAATAAGTCACAGTTCCGTACACGCCATTGTGACAAAACACCTGCTGTACCACAAAATCTGCGTGCAGTGCGTTCCATGTCAACTCACAGAGGAACAGAAGACTCAGAGAATGGCTGCATCACTGGGTCACCTACAACGATACCATGAGGAAGAGTATGCTTTTCTGTCCTATTGCCACTGGGGACAAAACTTCATGCTACCATTTTGAACCCGAGAGCAAACAGCAGAGCCAACAGTGGAAACATCAATTCTCCCCCACGGAAGAAATCCAAAGTCATACACACAAGTTCCGGTAAAGTGATGACGTTCTTCTTCAACTGCAAGGGCCCTCTGCTTGTCAAATTTCTTGAGCATGGGGCCACAATCAGTGCACAGCGCTATGAAGAAACTTTGCAGAAACTGAGACGTGCCATAAAGTCAAAATGCCCTGGAATGCTATCTAACGGCATTATCCTTCTTCATGCTAATGCACGCCCCCACACTGCCAACTCTGTGAGGAATACACTACAGAGATTTGGTTGGGAAGTGCTTCAACATCCCCCCTACAGCCCAGATCTCTCCCCATGTGATTTTCACATTTTTGGAGACTTGAAGAGAGACATTCGTGGACATCGGTTTGCATTGGACGAAGACATATGGCTGGGTAAAGATGTGGTTCCTTAGACAGCCCACGAGCTTTTTCAAGGATGGGATTGACTGTCTTATCTCCCAGTGTGATAAATGTATTAACAGAGTTGGAGATTACTTTTGAGTTAAGAAATGTTCTTTAATATGTTTTGGCTTCTGACCCATTTTCATTTGGCTGCCCCTCATATTTCTGTTCATATCCCAAATGTGTGGCTATTGCGGCTGTATTAAATTTGTCTGATATCCACAGAGTTTTGATTCATCATTATGTTTATACGTAGGCAAGTCAAATGAAAACCTTAAATATTTTTTTGAGTATTATTTATTGTGCACAAGTGGTACAAAGTGCATGAATTCCTTTAGAAAAAAAATCTTTTGGTAGTCCATGCAACCACTCATGCGCCACGTGGCGTACCTCTTCTTCAGAACAGAACGTCTTTCCTCCCATTGCTTCTTTGAGTGGTCCAAACATATGGAAATCGCTTGGGGCAAGGTCTGATGAGTATGCCGGATGAGGAAGACCCTCAAAATGCAGGTCATTGATTGTTGCAACTGTTGTATGGGCAGTATGGGGCCTAGCATTGTCATGTTGCAAAAGGATACCTGTGGACAGAAATCCATGTCGCTTTGATTTGATTGCAGGCCGAAGATGATTTTTTAGGAGATCTGAGTATGATGAACTGGTGACAGTGGTCCCTCTAGGCGTGTAGTGCTCCAAGATGATGCCTTTTTCGTCCCAAAAGAGAGTCAGCATAACCTTCCCTGTTGATGGTTGTGTTCGAAACTTCTTCGGTTTTGGAGATGAGGAATGGCGCCATTCCTTGCTCACTCTCTTCGTTTCCGGTTGGCGGAAGTGAACCCAGGTTTCATCCCCAGTAACGATTCTTGCAAGGAAGTCATCACCTTCTCGTTCAGAGTGCCGCAGAAGTTCTTCACAAGCATCAGTACGTTGGTCTTTCAATTCAGGAGTCAGCTGCTGTGGCACCCATCTTGCAGACACTTTATGAAACTGGAGTACATCGTGCACAATGTGTTGTGCTGAACCATGACTAATGTTTAAACTTGCTGCAGTTTCATTCAGTGTCACTCAGCGGTTTTCCCTCACTATGGCTTCAACTGCTGCAGTGTTCTCTGGAGTCACAACTCAGTGTGCCTGACCCGGACGAGGAGCATCTTCCACTTAAGTCACACCATTTGCAAACTTTGTACTCCATTCGTACACATGCTGCTGTGACAAACATGCATCACCATACTGAAACTTTATTCTTTGATAAATTTCAATAGGTTTCACACCTTCACTACACAAAAACCGAATAACAGAACGCTGTTCTTCCCTGGTGCAAGTCTCAAGTGGGGCAGCCATCTTATACTGGTGCTGTGACGGTGTTCTTGTATCTGCACTATGCTGCAACCTACAGGCGATTCTGCACCCTGTTTGTAGCACGCTTACCAACTTACAGGATAATGGCCCGAAATTTCGATTTTTTATTACAAATTTAAGGTTTTCATTTGACTCACCCTTGTAACAGTTAACATTTAGAAAATTAATTCATGCAGAATTTGTAGGTATGTTTCTTTCCATGCACAATTTCACATGTGTAACTCCCGCATATTGTGGAAGATTGCTCGCATGCATTGTTGCCATGTTGGTATTACAAAGGTTTGAGTGGCATTATATACGTACTAAGTTTAACGAAAATCCTACAATCAGTGTTTATGAAATAAGAAAAGAGGCTAAAAATTCTGACATGGTTTGTGATATAGTTTTTAAAATGCATGCATTGTTTCATGATTTATTATGAACCATCACTGTGACATTTTGACAACTCCTCACCATATTACATTTATTTTATTTGGATACATTTCAAACTTGATTTTCCTAGTGTGTTACACTGACTTACATTTAAGGCTCATTTATTTGAATAAATGACAGACCAGGAGGTTAAATTTTAGTTAATTCTTCAAAGCATTTTGATATTGTAGGGATTGTCAGACTCAGCCCAACATTGAAGCAGAATTTTCTAATTTTCATTTCATGCATCCTGTTGTGTGTCCTACAACACTCGCAGCCAAAAAGGAAGGACACATCACAGACACAGTACACACAGAAACGACTCCCATAGTGGACAAACCATACTATACGCGAGGTTGAATTTAGACATATAGATGAATAATCTTAACAAGTTTTAATATATACAAACTTTATTATAGTTGATGAATAATGTACTTTCTAAATAATTTTATGAAAGACACAAGATGGCAAACAATGTAATAGCTTAGCGTAAATAACGAACCTGAAGATGGCACTATGTTGCCAAAACATGTAATAAGAAGCGACATATGAAATTGAGTGCACTACAAGACTGCCATTACATATGTATCATAATATGATAAACTGTTTGGAGGCCCATGAAGTATAGTTTTAACATTAATTGTTTGGTCGGTGTCTCATCGTACGATGTATTCATGTCCGTTTTGTAGGGAATACAGATTGCAGTTCACTAGTGTGTAAACATGATGATGGTTATGAATAGCCAAAACATGTAGCAAAGCTAATTTGGCCTTGAACACTGTATTGTTGTGTTGTGATGGACTTAATAAAGAGTTGTATTAAACCAGAACATAACTTTTGCAAATGTCAGATTGAATTCAACAGACCTCAAAGGGTTAAGCTTTGATGCCAGTTTCAGATGTTACTTTGCAGACCTATGGTTGCATTCTCAATGTTTTTGTTAGTTAATCTTGATCATAATCCATAATGTTCACATTACATGTAAATCACTTAATGGTAGATGTCATTCCCTTTCTTCCTGAACGGGGGAATGAGAGTACACATGGGTAT